ACCCCCCTCCCTTACCTTATTTAGGCCATATGTGGCCTAAATAAGCACTCCCTTACTTAAAACTGAATGAAAATCATCATCAGCAATAAATCTCCTGTCAACAGTCCAGCTGAAACAAAGCTGACCGGCACCGCCGGTCTTGCCTAGTCAACAAACCGCCCCTGATAACGACAATGGAAGTTTGATAAGAAAAAAAAGAGCAAACCACAATAGAGCACCTGCCAACCACCCACTGAATTATTAGGTTTGTATGAGTGTGTACATGTGTATGAGGGTGTGTTTGTGCGAGTGGGCAAGTTTGACTACGTTTGCAATCATGTCAACTTTGATACATTTAATACATGTAGTTATCTTACAACCTCAAATCCATAAGTAAAAACAGTTAAACAGTACAGAAGAAATGTCAAACATTTAAGGCTGGAATTGTATAAATAAGATTTATTTCTATCAATGCCTATTTAACAACCTTCAAAAAACGTTTATCAAATTTTTGGTTTTTGGCTAAACATTAGTGCAGTGCGATTTTGAGGAAACAAATCTTCATCGAAACTTTGAAGCCTGAGCTCACTATTCATGCCATTTGAATACCGCTGTCGAATGTTATTTTCTTATGAATGATAAGCCCAGCCCTAACTTCCATTATTTAACATTCACTAACTTTTCACAGCGCTGTCGAATTCGAATGGGTTTTTTCTTATGATAAGTCCAGCCTTAACTTCCACTATTTGAAGCACCATCGAATTGTTTTTTCGTCTTATGACAGGTCCATCCCTAACTTACGCTATTCAACATTCGTTAACTATTCACAGTGCCAGTCACTGAGAGCACATATTGTTTTTGCCCCAGACAGTGCAATGCAAAGACAACCCATCAATGTTCAAAGCACTTCGAATTTGGATTAGGGTAAGGGGTGCTCATTGCACAAACTAATTTCATTGGGGGGGGGGGGAGATTTGCTGCACTTAACGAGTCAAGTGTCCTTGCTTGAGCTATCCACGGTGCAACTAGTGAATATTGAAGAGTAGTCTAATGGAAATTCTTTAGAGGAATGTTTTATAACTCTTGTTGGCTCCTTTTATCACTTTATCTCGTACCCACCAAGTAAAGAGTATTTCTGTATTTTTATCCCAATGATTTTAAATATAATGTGCTCCAATTTAACTATGTTTGAGAAAAACGAGACAACAATCCATTTTCAAAGAATCAAACACACTAAATCACATGGTACCAGCCTGAACAGAGACACCAGAACATATATATATTTTTTAAACAGAGAGTGTGAGCAATACAGCCGTCATCAAAATCCACAGAAAGGACAAAATATGTCTGTTTGAAAACATGTGCAGCACATAATGGTGTGGCAATAAGGGCAATAAAAGAGGAGAAAAAATTACACACAAAAAACAAAACTCTTCAAAATGCCGAGATTCATTCAGACTAAACTAATACACAACAACCCATTTTAATACAAAATACTAGCTCTTTCATCAATTTTGGAGATGACCAATACATCTACACAGGAGAATATTTCTCCAGCGAAACACAAGAGTTACAAAAATCAAAGGTGAAGATGACTTATGGCTTCTGCAGGGTGTCCAGCAATATTTGCTGAAAAAATTTACTACCTGGAAAAAAAAATTACTACCCAGCAAATCAAGCCCCACACCAGTTCGAAAAAGGGAGTTCATTTGCACCATCATTAACATATATTATCATTAGGCCTACATAATATATCATATGGAACGAAAATAACACGCAACAAAGTCATCCATTTTCCAGGGGCGTGTTACATAACAACACACACACACACACACACACACACACATACACACACACACACACACAAAATATACCCAGTCAACAACATATGTCAATGTTGAACTGGGGTCCTGTTTGACTAGCCTAAGTATTTCAGTGAGTTATAAATTTTCCTCTCATTATTATATTATATTAAAAAAAAGAATCCTGCTTTGAGCGTTCGGAAGGGCCTTGAACAAGAATTTCGACTGTGAAGAACCAATGTGGGTGTCATGACTCATAATATTATGAACATGAAAGGCAAAAATTATTGCTCAAACTCAATAACTTGAATGGCCCCAGTAGACCCATGAAGTGAGAGAGTGGTAAGAACTGAGGGGGGGGGGAAGATGCAGAGACAATGAAAATTTGCCAGCCTTGAACAGAAAGCTACAATATTGTTATAACTTACTATCACCCATACAAAGTTTTTGTCCTCTGGTGTTGCCTTTAGCACCCCCACCCCCTCCCCCCAGTGCATCTTTTAAAGAAATCAATAATCCCCTACCCCATTCGGTAGTCCTAGGCCTATACTTCGCAACGCTCAGACTTTGAATGAACTTTGGCGACCCCAACAACAAACGCCGGTGCTCACGCGCGCACAGGTTCATTGACCGGTCACGATGGCGAGCCCGACAATCTAAAAATCAGACGACGCTTGTACTTTCTCCCCCCCCCCCCCCCCCCCCCCCCCCCATGTGACAATGACACACAGAGACGAATCCGAGAACTAATTACAGTTTATTTGCGTGGCGGCACAGCGTTTACACAGATCAATATATATATTATATTATATATTATATATATATATATCTATACTGCACAACCTGCATGTCACAAATGTTGCGTTAGTTATCAGTCTATCACCGGCTTATTTCTGAAAGCGAAAGTAGATCTTGATTTTCCCGATCGAGCCTCGGTGTCACGCACACTTTCGCCTCCCGCCATAACTGGCTTTTTGCGTGAAACGTACTCTCGGACGGGGAAAAGGAGAACGAATGTTATATCACAATAGCGACCGGCTAAAACGGAGTCATGTACCACGGCTAGGGTTCAATGAAGCCTGTTTTGGCTTCATCACTCCCTACGCAGATTAATTTACGACCGTTTACCAATTGTTTACTACCTTCAAGGCGCATTTACTACCATTTACGACCAGAGCGCCGAATTTACAACTTTTTTACGACTTTACGACTTTGCTGGACACCCTGCTTCTGCCATAGCCAATGAGACTAATTCTGGCATTCAAAGATATTTTTAGTTTGTCTTTGTAGCGCTTTTTTTGGTGCACAGACCTTGCATATCCCTCTTTACCATGTACTCATTTCATTCTTCCTAGAAACAAATACCTCACAACACTTCAAACTATCCTGACTTATTCAGTGTGTAAACATATTCTCCACAGTCCATATTTATTCAGTCGATAAACGTACTCCTGCAACACTTCAATACATCCCTATTCATTTCCGTATTCATTCTGTCTGAAAGCTCATACACAAAACCAAAAACACATCAACCTTCCAGCATATATCCCTACTTATTCAGTCTATAAACTCCCTCACAGAAGACGAGCACTTGACTCTTGACCTTGTTGTCCAGGAAGCTCTTGAGCTCTTGCACGGAAATCTCCGAGGAACCAGGCTCCTCCATTGCAAACATGCGCAGCATGGAGTGAATGCGTTCAAGTGGCAAACAGTGCAGGTTAGCCAACATGCCTTGAATATATGTCCAGAACACCTGCCAAAAACAAAATAAAAAGTTTATAAAATCTACGATGAAAAAAGTCACCAGTTTGTTGTTTATGTTTTTAGTAAGAGTTTTCCCGTGCTGGCAACACAAACAGGTCATATAAATGCTGAAGATTGAAAGTGTTACAAGAAAGAGACACACAAACAAAAGGAGGAAAGACAGAGATGATATATGTTTGACAGGAAAGTTTAGTTTAGTAGAGGTTTTATGGCGCTTGCAACTGCATAAGGTCATATGAGTTTAGTTTAGTATGGGTGTTACGGCACTCGCAACTGCATAAGGTCATATGAGCGCGCAAAACACAAGTTAGTTTTGCTCACAACAGTTTACTATACGACTGGCTCGGGTCGGTAGTTTGATCTTAAAATGTTAAAATGTTTAAAAATCAGTGTAAATATATAATAGTCATTTTTAAATGTCACATTTTTTGAATTTGTGATTCCAGACCTAATTCCTTGGATACCAATATAAACCAATATAAAATATTGCTTAGAAGTTAGAACCTTTGACTATGTTCAAGAACAAAGTAAAACGTTCCTTCACCTTAAAATCAAGTGTTCAAAACTGCCCAAGTCATAGAAATTTTACAGCTCTTTTGTAAATCTTGTTTGTTTTTTTGTTTTTGTAAAGTGTTTCATGGCGCTCGCAACTGCATGAGGTCATATGAGCACGCGGGACACACCTAATATTTTCAGTTGGTAGGAAATTTTGAATTTTGCCTGGGTGACGACCGAAGCCTACTCTTATCGATTTTAGACCACCAAGGGATCTTTAACGTGCGCAACTTGCCCACGGGCCCTCCGAGATTTTTCGCCCTTGTCCGAGAAGGCTAGGTGTAGATCTTTCCTACCGGAAGATCAGGGATGTGGCTGAAAGACAGCAGTAAGAAGAAGCGAAGGAGTAGAAGTAGAAAGGCTGCAGAAAGAATCAGGAGCCCAGAGGAAGGGGCAAAGGAGGTGAGGGGGTGTGGGTAGAAAGAGGAGACGAAAGCAGATGACAGAACATTGCTAGAGAGCAGGAAATGAGGTGAAAGGAGACAAATTTAGAGAAGAAAATTTTTCAGTCGCTACCCGGATTCAAACCCGGGACCTTTTGAACAACACCTTAACCTCTAGGCCACGAGAGCCCCTGTAAATCTTGCCCAGTAGGCAAAAATGGCAAGTTCCGCAACACGTATATGTTTTTAAAAACATGCTGAGGGATAAAAGTAATGGCTCCAGGGATTAAATATTTAACAGTTATACAGAGTATTGAACAGCATTACCGGAGCAAAAAAATCTTGGTGTCCGTCCTTGTCTTATATTTGTTAATTAACTCTTTTTCTCCGATATTTTGCTTAGCCCATTTCAAAGTTCTCTCCTGTTACCCAGCATTTCACACAAGATGAATGGTCCCAAGATTTTTTTCTATGTTCTTTAGTAGTAGTATAGGGTTTTATGGCGCTTGCAACTGCGTAAGGTCATATGAGCGCACGAAACACAAGTTGTTTACTTTCGCAAAAGTTTACTGCACGACTGGTTTAACTATCAGACTTTAAAATGCTAAAATATTAAAATTCGGTGTAAATATATTTTCAATTTAAAACAACCCTTATATCTTATAATTAACAATAAAAATTTTTAATAGTACGATTTCACTTTACAATTTGCCATAAAGGCCAATGGCCTTCATAAAATTCAATATTCTGCTGGTACCAACGATGGAAAAAATGTCTTGCAATTTCTTGCATTTATAATATTTCCTTCAGATCTCTCCAAAGTCTGGACAATCGGTTAAGATGTGTCTAACGGTAAAATCTGTGTCGCATCCGATACAGAACGGCTTCTCATCTCCCTGTAGGAGGTATTTGTGGGTCAGGGTCGTGTGTCCGATGCGCAATCGAGTAAAAATGTCTTCGTCTCTTCTGGAGAAGGATTTCGCTGTTCTAGTTTGGGTTTTATTTCATATAGTTTATTGTTTTTGTGTTTTTACCAGTGGCTCTCCCACAGACTGGAGGTGTACTTTTTGACTTTATTTCTAAAGCCAGTCTGAGGGAGAGTGTTTGTCGTTGATCCCAGGAGAAGGGATGAAGCTTTTTTCGCCAGGTCATCTACCTGTTCGTTTCCTCGGATGCCCACATGGCTAGGTATCCATGCTAACATGATGTTTTTTCCTGTCTCGGATAGTGTGTGAATTTTCTGCTGTAGCCTAACTATTTTTGGGTGTAAGAGTGTGTAGTTTATGAGTGAGGTGATGCAAGACAGAGAGTCAGAAAGGATTAAAAAAGATTTATTTGGAGAATTTTCGACGGAGTCCAGTGCCATGTCAATGGCAGTGGCCTCCGCAGAGAAAATGGAGGCTTCAGGGTGGAGTCTCCTCTGGTGAGTACTGTTGGAAGATAGGGCTGCAGCGCCCACTTCATTGTCTTTTTTGGAGCCATCCGTGAAGATGAGCTCCGCACCGTGGTATTTATCTATTAGTTTTTTGTAATCTGCTTAAAAAGTTTTGGTGTTTGTACTTTCTTTGTTGTGTGTGGTCAGCTGTAAGTCTACTTTTGTCTTGGTGAGGTGCCACGGAGGGAGGTCGGGGAAAAGAATTTGTTGGATGTCTTGTTTGGAAAAGTGTAAGTTTTTGAGGTCCTCAAGGATTCTGAGGCCGAAGGGTTTGATGAGTTTTTCGTTGTTTTGGAATTTGTTTGTGGTTTCTGGGTTTGTTTTAAAAATGCTGTTGTGCGCTGGATTTTCCGGTGTTGAGCTCTGTTTAACTGCGTATTGTAGTGAGAGTTGTGTGCGTCTGAGTGAGAGTGGTGGTATGTTGGCCTCGGCCTGGAGGCTCTCCACCGGAGAAGTGCAGAAAGCCCCCAGAGCGAGGCGGAGTCCTTGGTTTTGTATTGGATCTAGTATTTTTAAGATGTGTGGTTTTGCCGATCCGTAGACTTGACAGCTGTAGTCAAGCCTGGACTGGACAAGGGAGATGTACAAGTGGAGAAGGTGTTATGAGCCCCCCCCCCCATTCCGGATTCGATAGAATTTTCAAAGCGTTTAACGCTTTCTGGCACCTCACACGAAGGTCTTTGATGTGTGGTATGAATGTGATTTTTTTGTCGAAAATGACGCCGAGGAAACGAGCTTGGTCCTGGACGGGAATCCTTTCCCCGTATAGTGTCAAATCCGGCTGCAGCACACGTCTGCCTGTTCGGCAGAAGTGTACTGCAACCGTCTTTGACGGGGAGAACTTGAAACCATTATTGTTTGCCCACGTTTCAAGTTTGTGCAGCTGCGTTTGCAGCTGCCTTTCCATAGATCTCAAATGAGGATTTTTCGAACGGCAGCATATCAAAAAGTCGTCAACGTATAACAAGCTGTCTGTGCTGTTTTGGAGGGTTTTCGCTATGGAATTTACTTTAATTTCGAATAGGAGAGGAGAAAGGATGCTCCCCTGGGGGATTCCTTCCTCCTGTTGATGGGAGTCTGAAAGGGAGGATTCGACACGAACCTGGAAGGAACGGTTCTTCAGGAAGTTGCCAATGAAGGCAGGGAGGTGACCGCGTATGCTGAGAGCATGCAGGTCTCGAAGAATGCCGTACTTCCAGGTTGTGTCGAAGGCTTTTTCTAGGTAAAAAAAAGATGGCGATCATGTGGCCTCGAGTTTTCCTGAATCCGCACTGGAGATCGCTCAGCGAGCCAGTCGTTTCCAGAAACCACATGAGTCGCCTGTGAATCATTTTTTCAATCAGTTTGCAGAGACAGCTCGTTAGTGCTATTGGTCTGTAATTGGATGGGTGTGTGTGGTCCTTGTTTGGTTTGGGTATTGGAATGACAGTGGCGAGACGCCAAGACTCCGGAAAAGAGTGAGGACGCCACATGTCGTTGTATATGTATAGTAGGAGTGTGAGTGTTTCTGAGGGTAAGTGTCTAATGATCTGGTTGTGGATGTCATCCGGTCCTGGGGCTGTATCGCCCAGGTCCAAGATGCACGAGGTTAGTTCGTCTATTGTGAAGTCTGTGTTGTAGGTTTCAGTGTTGTTTGAGTGGAAGTTTAGGTGTTGTTTTTCTCTGTTAGTTTTGATGTTTTGAAAAAAGGAGTTGCAGTTTCCTTGGGATGATTTTTGGCGAGAGATGTAGCTATTGTGTTTGCGATGTCTACTTGTGTTTCAGCTGTGGTTCCATCCGGCCTTTGGACGTGCCGAATGGTGTCTGTGCGTCTACCTAAGAATTTTTTAGCAATTTTGAAAACTTGGTTGAGTGGTGTCTGGCTGTTGATTTTGGAGATGTATTTTTGGAATGATTGTCTTTTGCTCTCCCTGGGGCATCTACGTGCCACAGCTCGAGCCTTTAAATAATTGATCTTGTTTTCTATGGTGGTGTTGTTGACGGCTTTTCGATACGCTGCCTTCTTTTTCTTTACTGCGTCCTCACATTCCCAAGAGAACCAGATCTTGTTCCTCCGGGGTTTTGTTTTTGTCTTTGGTATGTGTTTGTGGCATATTTCTAAAAGCTTTTTGTGGAATTTAGTGTAGTTGAGGTCGAAATTGGGATTAAGAACATGGGAACATTGATTGGCAAACCCGTCGCAGTCTGCTTTTTTGAAGTTGAAGCATTCTGGGATCGGGTCGTTTTGGAGGCTATTGTTTTTTAGGAGAATTGGGAAATGGTCGGTACGGTCATCCAGCACAGACCACTCAAGATCTGGGACTAGGTCAGGGGTACAAAAGGTGAGGTCAAGGGATGAAGTGCCATAGGTGGGTCTGTTTCTGTAAGTTGGGGATTTATCATTTAAGAGACAGATGTTATTTTGAAATAAAAAGTTTTGTATTATTTTTCCTTTCTGGTCTATAGGTTTGTCTCCCCAAAGGGGTCTGTGGGCATTGAAATCACCTAGCAAAATAAAAGGTTTTGGAAGCTGAGCCTTTAAGTCATTTAGTTGGGTTATTTTAAGGGGGTAATTTGGTGGGATATAAACTGAGCAGATCGTGATTGGTCTGTGCAGGGTGACCCGTACGGCAATAG